TTTTAATTACTATATATATATATATATAATGTTAAGTCCATACACCGATTTCTAAATATTAAAAACATGCATTTGAACATATATATATATAAACATTCTAAAATGATAACGTAAATAAACTGGTCTTCATTCCTATTTTTCCACACCTGAGATCTTCAAATGACCACATCAAAACTAGCTTTTTATTAATTATGAAACCATTAAAGTTAAGAACTTTAGTAGCTTGGAAAGACACAAAAGCAACTAGAAAGAAGCAATTTCAATGTTTTTCTGGACCACATGTTTATGCCAAAACTGCATACAAACCATTCAAATCTTTGTCATTGAACATGCTCGACCTTTCAGCCGTGGGAGCGCTATTGTGTGAGTGTCAGTCCTACAATTCGTTGATAACAGAGTAGACCAAGAGACAGCTGTGGATGGTGTTGACTAGCTTCCTTTCTTCTAGTCTATCATTGCTAAATTAGTAAGGGCTAGCGCAGATAGCCTTCGAGAGCTTTGGGCAAATTGCAAACAAACAAAGCTTTAATACAATGGAAGTTACATTTAGAGCTGGATAAATCTGTGTGGTACTTGAAAAAAATCATATTTTCGTTTTCTGTTAGCTAAACAGGGTAAACTGTTTAGTTTCCTAAAAGTTTCAAAATATTTCAAATCAAACGCTTTTACGGCACTTATAAGCTTTTTAATATAAAGATTTGTATTTCTTTTCTTTTACTCTACTTCTATGCAATTTTGACAAAAATACGTTCTACTGAAAACTGTTAAAACTGTATTAGTATAGTTGAATTTGTGTTTTGTTGTCCTCGATAGCCAACAGAAATGTTGCAGTAGCTTCCCACATTAGTGTAAGAAAAAGTCAATGACTGCAACGTCCTTTGCTGGCCAAGTGGGTGATGTCTGTATGTTATAGTCAATGAAAACTGTAAGAAAATGGCCAGTCACATGGTGACACTATTGCGAAAGAATTGAGGTGTTCTGTATCAGTATGGAGCCCTAGTATTTTTAGAGTTCTGCTTGTTTTCAATGTGGATAGTTTTCTAGATATTTGTCTCGAAAAAATAACGTTGATGATCTATCCATAGATCCATTAGAGAGGCGAATTTATTGTTTTTGTGTACAAAACGTCATACTCTCTCAATCTAGGACAAAAATGTCTACAGAATAAAATTGAAAATTCAAACTTCTCTTTTTATCAGTGAGAAGCACCATCCATCATCCAATGCATGTATTTATTTTTCAATAATGCAAATTACTTTTAACTTTTTTCTTCAATAAAGTCAGAGTCAGAAAAATCGTATTTACTCCTGCATAACATTTTTTGACATACCTCTAACTATTTCAGCTACAATTCTTATCTCAAGAGAAAAAGTTATAACTAGAAGTACTAAAGAGTAAGGTAGTAAAAACTTTTATTTGTTCGTTTATTGTTATTGATAAAGCTACACAATGAACTAATTGGGTTGTGTCCTGTACAGGTATAAAAACTCAATTTTAGCATAATAAGACTTCAGAATTACCACTGAGCTATTTGGGCTGGTAATAAGGTAGTAATTATTCTTTAAATATTATGTCTCTTTCTGTTAACTCATTTCTTCAATTTCCATCTTTTACCTCTTGATCTTCTTATAATTTTTCAATCTCTTTCTTCTTCTTGTTTTTCAATTTTCTATCCCTGTCTTCTTGATCGTCTTTTAATTGTCTGTCTGTCTCTGTTTGTTCTTTCTACTTTTTCATCATTTTCAGTAAATTTTCGATCTCGTTTCGTGCTCGTGTAGTCATTTTGAAGTTTTGTTTTATTTCCACCAAAATAATCCCACTTCTGACATCAGTATTGCGATATGTGCTATAATTTGGGGAGGAGGATTTTAAGGATTATTCGGTAAAATATTGCAAAGCCCAGTCCATATAATGACAGCATATTCATTACGTTCTATACAGGCTGCATTCACTAGAAGTGTGGTGTTGTCAAATTATTTCCTTGCAACTAACAACAGGATTGAACAGGAAATTGGACTGAGATTTAAGCTATGTGAGAAATAAACAGACTGGACACATTTGAATAAAAGTGAAAACAGTTTTTACTCCATATACAAAAAATGTGCATAGTTGCAGAGATAATAGGATGACTACCTATACTAGAGCAGTGAACAGAGAAACAAGTTTCTATCTCTTGAGATGAATCTCTGCACGACTAAGCATGACGATAGCCAGGTATAACTCTGAAGAACTAAGAATTGTACTGGTACAGGAAACCTCAGTTCATATCTTTTATAATAGTGTCACCACATTACTGACCGATCTCCCACAGCATTCGATGGCTGTGACATGCAGACACCACCCATTCGGCCAGAAAATGCCGACGCATTAGTTGGTCGTTCAACACAGATGTATTGCAACATCCCTTCAGGCAGAGTAGATATTATCTGCTATTCAGAACAAAGATACAAAGACAACTAGAAGAAAGTAATTTCAATGGTTTTCTGGACCACATGTTTCTGCCAAAACTGCGTACAAACCAACTAACTGCAAAAAAAGCAGGTACAAAACATTCACATGTCTGCATATTATAATAGACCTAACTTCACAAATAACATTTCAAACAGAAACTCCAAAGCTAATATACACTTTGCACACAAATAAAGCTCAAGATAGTCACTTACTTGTAAAAATTCCTTATTAATCCATCAATAACAAACACACTAACTTACTAACTTGACCACTGTAACCAGGTACAATAAATCTGACTGCCTAACTCATTAAATGACTTGAATTAATTAACTAGTTCTAACGCACTAAGTTTGACATTTTTATACTGTCCACTTTTTTTACATAGTACAGTAAGCTTCGAGATTTGACAGATGGATAATCTTTTATGAAATTTCTAAACTTAACACAATCATTACATCATGTAAAACCTCCCTCTAGTAAATAAAACATGAAAATATTAAGAATATAACTTACAACAATGCTATTCTGATTTCATTCAAAGCATGTAATCAATTTCACCGAGGTTTATTTTTTATAATTTTTGAAGGGTATAGCCTTCTTCTTCCACACTTATAACAGTGTTTATTTTAATGACAGTGTGACTTTAATTATATAAATATAAACTTATTTCTTTTTGATTTAATTGCGGTTTTAACAATCCACTTAATATCATAAAGAGCAATAGTAAGTTGAATTTGAGCCATGTGTGTAACCTAATTTCATGAGTGACAGCTTTGTTGTCCAAATAACTAGTTTTAGTGCTTATCAGGCTCTTGTGGTCTTGTTTTTGAGTTGCGATTTACCTTTCTTATCTTGTGCTTGTAGATATAAATAACAGACTAAAATTAAATTTTATTGTGTAGGAGCGTGTGCATGTCGTTTAGTAATTATTTTAAAAGTTTGAAATCTACAATTATTTTCAGTTTTCATTGTTGTCATTTTATTGATAGTTGAACTTAACTTTAATTTAACTGTTTTTCGGCTTAATAATCGTAACTCTAGCGTTGACTCTCAGTAGTCTCAATGATAAACCACAGGTTTTTTAATGTTTAGTAGTATATTTCAAAATCTAACAAAATGCAAGCTACTTCTCTGCAAAAAAAAATGCGTTTTCTTAATTTAATTGTTAGTGTAGAGTTTCCACACAGGTCGAGCACATACTTATGCAATGTTAAATACCAGGTTTCTCTTCTTATTTAGTATAGAAAGGTAAATGGCTTTATTCGAAATTTTTCACATATACGTGGTTTCGGGAACGCAATGTATAATATTAATGTTTAGAGAAAACCAACTATAGAATGTAGCAACCTTCAATTTTGATTATTAATTGTTTTCCACGGAAGATGTCGCTAGATAATTTGATTATTTTATATTAGTGGTTCTCTAGTGACATAGGTTAGTTACAGGGACAAGAGTACCTGAAGGCTATTTCCTTCGTATTTTGTCCCTTGATGGGTCAAGTTTACAGACTTACAACACAAAGATCTGCCCCCCCCCCCAGTGGCACAGCGGTATGTCTGCAGACTTACTTCGCTAAAAACCGAATTTCGATAGTCGTGTTGGGCAGAGCACAGATAGCCCAATGTGTAGCTTTGTGCTTAAATTCAAAACAAACACAAACACAAAGATCCAGCATTCGATTCCCTGCTTGTGGAACAGTAGACAGTCCAAGAAAGTGGCTTTGCGCTAAAACAAACACACCTTCATATTTTTACTTTTTATAATAACTGACAAGTGTACTCTGGAAGAATTGACTTTGTTGTAACAAGCATCTAGTGGTTAGATCTCTTAATCTACTTGAGAATTTTCTTTAGATTACTGCCTTAGATCATATACCTGCATATTAATTAAAGTGTTCCTATACCCAGAATAGCTGTAAGCAAGGTCAGATCTATGACAAATATGCTCTGAAAAGTCAATAAATATTGGATTAATACAGCATTTTTGACTGTACGTTGGTTCCTTTATTTCTGTGAGTTGTAGTAAAGACATAAGACACAGTGCATGCTGAAAATTAAACAACTAGATTCATCCTGCTCATGAAAAAAAGTAAAAAGATAATTTATTTTAAAAGTGATAACTTTTAAGCTTCTTCTTTTAAAAACCTTAAAAACTAGATTTTAATATGACTTGGATAATAACTGCGGCAAACAATAGATAATAAAAATTTAATTTTCAAAAATCTTAGAATAATGTTTTGTTTCCAGACTGCTGGAAAATGTGTGTGCTCTATTATTATTATCAAACCAACAATCTTCATTTTAATTTCAAGCAAAGTTTATTTTAATCTTATTTTAATTAAAACATTTTAATGTGTTTACCTTTTTAACTTAAATACAATTTTATCTATATATCCTTAAATTATGACAATTCAATACTCCATCTCAAACAATAGTACAATCACTATTTGTTCTAGTTCACCTTCTATTTTATACATTAATGAAGTATTTGTTTTGTATATTTTCATATCGAGTCTTGTCTCTTTCATTCCATCTGCAACGAATCACAACACTTCTCCTTTCAAATACTAAATCCACAAAATAACTGCTATTTCCCCTTCATATATCTTTAATCAGTTCTATTCTAGTAATTTTCTCAAAATTTCCTACAGATATTATGCATGTAGTCGAGGGTTTATTTCATTTCAATTTTTTAATGGCAAGGATCATTGATGTAGGGCTGTAAGCAATCTAATATTGTTGAATACTACACTAGGTGTCGTAATTCAAGAAATCGATTTTCGCTATTTAATGATAAAAAATATGTACCCAATACAGGTTATTGAAACTGAGGGATAAATTTCACTGGATTTACAAAATTCTGCTATTACTCTGCTAGATGAGTTGGGCAGTTTTTTCAACACGCCAGACAAATATTTTGTTTCCGAAAAGTACTCAATATTTCGGAAAGTAAGGGTTGCAAAACCCTTTCCTCTGTATTGTCGAATACCACTTCCTTTCATTCATTAATCTTACAGTCACTGGTTGTCCTAGCTGCTAGTGTCACAGTTAATCCCACATTGTGATCGAAAGGTCGTCTTCTTGTGCTCCATCTCACTCATCTTTTACAGCTAGATAAATACTTTCATCATCCATCTCCCCTCATCAGCTCGTCATTCTCAACCTCTCATTCTTGGATCAGCCAGTGTGTGAAAGGTTCATCAGTAACAAACAGCCTTAGCTTGTCAATGTGTTCCCTGTAACTATCTCTAATATGTTAATAAAACAACTTGTTAGAGTATGAAATAAGGACATGGCCAGACAAAGCTGAGTCGCTTCCATGTCACTGTCATGTTCCACGGCCAAATCAAGTCTCCATGTTGGAATATTCGTTCCTTAATTGTCTCATTGTAATGCTTCTCTTCTTTCAGATGGTGGCCTTTACTAGGTGTTAGCGTGTAAATTCGTGTGTATCAACCAATGTAAACCTTAAGCACTTCACATATTCTTGCAGATAGTGTGATACATATGCTCTAAGGATTGAACATATATATCACATCCACAAGAGCAGTATTTCCTGACCAATCTTTAACAGGTTCGGCAAGCAACCAGTCAATCTTTTAACTGTGTTGTGAGTGCCATTATGGTATATGCCAAATATTTGTCCCAGTTGTTTTTGCCGAGATGAACAACCTTTGCAAATACACTCTTTATAGTTCTTATTATTCATCCTGCTAAACCATCAAATTAGGTATGATAAAACGAAGTGCGCATCTTCACTTCACCCAACATTTTACAAAACTCAGAGAAACGTTTCTTTTTTCAATTGACTTCGTGATCTGTAAGATTTTTTATTGGTTTGGTGACCGTCACTTTATAACGTTCCCACGGCTGAAAGGGCGAACATGTTTGGTGTCACGTGGATTCGAACCCGCGACCCACAGATTGCGAGTCGAGCGCCCTAACCAACTGGCCATGCCGGCCGAAACGAAGACTAAAGACTGCAAAAGCCACTTTGCACCTGACGAAGAAAGGTTCGCCCTTTGAAAGCGCTCCGGTTATAGGGTTTCGTAATTTTGTCTTTTATTTTTTTAACTTTCGAGTTTTCCTAACACCATGATCACATAAGCCAGACACATAATAAGATAGGATTTTATATTTGATATTGCTTGAAACTAGGTTAGAACTAATAAGTATTGTGAATTATGATTAATCAGAGCTTGAAGGTGTTATTTAAGATTTAGTGGTAATTTACGAAGGTGAGTTTATTTTTTGTTCTTTTCCTAATTTCTTGTGTCGGGGGTTATATTGCTGAGGAGTTAAGTATTTAAGTTCTGTTGTTGTGTCATTTGTAAAAGTTCCGGCACAGTATTTTTCTAATGCCATTATATTCATTTCAACTTGCAAAAGTTCTAATAAGTACATTTTTTTTTTTTTACATGTCTTACTATTAACGTTTCTATTATTCTTGGAGTAGAATAAAAGATTCGTTACAACTTGATAATGAGAGGTTTTAAACCATATTTTAGACACAAAAGTAAAAGAAAGGCAACTAGTCAACACCACCCATCGCCACCTCTTGGGCTACACTTTGCCAGCAAATAAGGGGACTAAATAATGACATTAAGATTTTTGGGGTGGCTAACTGTATCAAAAATACTGCAGACTTACAGGGAGATTTAGATTATTTGATGCATTGGGTCAATACGTGGCAGATGATGTTTAACTATCCAACATATAAGGTGATGCATGTAGGTTTTCACAATTCAAATGGGAATATATTGAATACTGTGGTTGAAGAAAAGGGTGTTGTGATCGAAAAATCACTTAAGTCATCTAAACATTGTATTGTAGGATTTTGGGTAGCGTCTGTAAAAAAGCGGCCTTAAAAACCACAGTTGTTTGAGCAGATAATGGATAATTTTTAAAGTTACTCATAATGAGAATTTTACTAAAGAGTAGTAATTATTGTTGTTTTCTTAGTGCAAACAACCCAATGGGCTATTTGCACTCTGTGAACCGCGGGAATTGAGCCCAGGATCTTAGCTTGCAAGTCCATAAACTTATCATTGACCTACCAGGAATCTCTTAAGAGCAACATTTTAAGTACACTTTTAAAATAAAGATGCCTTAATATTCCAAGATAGACAGTTGGTTTAATAAGTGATAGATAAATGCTTTGTTTGTTTGAAGTTAAGCACAAAGCTGCACAATTGGCACTCTGTGCTATTTCTACTACGGGTATCGAAACCTGCTTTCTAGCGTTGTAAGTCTGAAGACATACCGCTGTGCCACTGATAAAACATAACCAAAATTAATTATTTATTTACCTTGTAGAGCTTTATGTTCAATAATTTTTATATTTATTGACAATAGAAAAAATTTTAATTATTATTTTATTTGGAAAAAGAGAACCTAGTTTAACACTGACTGTAGAAACATGATTAATATTTGAATGATAAACACAAAAAGTAAGAAATACGAACAGGAACTGATAATAATTGAAGTTATTAAAGTAAAGTAATTGTTAAATTCAAATAACACTTAATCCGTGCGCTTTGACATAAAAGTTGATCGAGTATGTAGGTATATAGTAAAGCAATATTTCGAATGACGTCATTAACTAACCGAGCGTTACTGATTGGTCACCGTTTGAAGACTTTTTAGCTAACCAATCACGTCTTTCTTACGTATCTCACTGGTAGTACATGTGTGGTAAGAAAGATGCGTACAGTAAACTTATTACAGTTTAATGAGAGAGTCCGCGAATTTTGGGTGTGAAACCAATAGTGATACGAGTTGATCCAAGATGAAAACTCAAAAATTAAACGGCGATAATTTGGATGAGTCAAAACAAATCATGTGCAATAACATGTTAAAAGACAATTTTGAAAAAAAATACGTTCTTTTGTGGGGTTGTAGAAGGTAAGAACGTTATATTGATATTACAAAAAAAAATTAAGCTAAGCAATTTCGTTGACGAGGAACCCACTTTGAGACTAATAATGGTTGGAGACGGCTTGAATGGGGTAATGAAGAAAAACTTTTAATATAACAGCAAATGTACAACGTTTCGACAAGGTTCTGTCATCATCAGGTC